TAGAAACTATCAAAGTTGAGATTTATTTCTCTTTGAAGAAAAAACTATTAGTGTTAAAATGTTACATGTTAAAAATATATTCAAAGTCATGGTGATCACTAGTTGTATTTATTTTTAAATGCCCTGCTCCGTTTCTGTTAACATTAGTTACTGAAAATACAACAATCACAATCTTATCACATGAGTCCTGTTGTCATTTAATAACAATTATTTGTGGACCAAATTTAGGGTAGGATGCTTGTCTTAATTATTGATTGCAAGTAAAACAAGATTCTCAGGACCCGTGTGTCATATCCTGCCTCCTGCTAATGCTGGCTATCGATGCCTCGCTTCTCATGGAGGCTGCACCTGCAGTCTGCATGTGTTCTGGAACTCCGGCAGTAGCTAAAGGACGTTGGGTCTGATGGCACTAGAGACGGGGTGGACAAAGTCTAACTCCGAGACAACGACGGCGCCCTCGGCAAGCACCGAGAGAGCGTCACGGCGTCGTCGTCTTCGTCGCCGCCGCCGTCTCCTGCGGTCGCGGGCGGGCAGCGCCAGGGTGGCCTCTGGCTCGTACAACGGCGTACCGTCGTGGCCAAACTCCTGTAACGCACAGGGCCAGGATGAGAGAACGGGATCGGCATCGAGGACTGCAGATCTATGCTGTCGAGACTCACGAGACAGCGGCCGCTCACGCAGAAGGCCCGGACGGGCTTGCCCCTGGAGCAGTCCGTTCCGAAGGGAAACCAGCCGTCGCGCCCGTTGACGAGGTAGAACCTGTGGGGCACGGCCTCGTCCTGGCAAGCCACGCGGCAGGGCCGGTCCCGGTCGTCTGTAAATGGCTTTGAATATTAGGCTGGAGTGGGACAGGGCCGCCGTGGCCACATGGTGGCCACATGGGCGCCACGGCGTTACCCACCGTCTGCTGCCGAGATCTGCATGCCCAGCCCCGACAAGCGCCGCACACGGGTCCGGAACTTGGCGCAGAGAGCGCTGGCCACCTCGAACGGCGTCCGCAGGCGTCCGCAGCTCTGGGGGAAGAGGTCGAGCATGAGCGGGAGCAGCGATGTGCTGTGCATCGCCTCCAGCACGTGCAGCTGTGCGTACAGTACTCACCAGCACGTCCGGCTCGCACGTCTGCAGGGTGCAGTTCCCGCGGCAGGGCCCCGCCCCCCGCCGTCGCACCAGCCGCAGCCCCGTGCCCGGCGTGACGCAGGTCGAGTGACAGCCCGACGCGTGCTCCAGGGCACCGCCGGCGCTCACCAGGGCGGCTGCGGTGGGCACCGCGGCGGGGGCAGCGGGGGTGGCGGAGGTGGCAGTGGCGTTACTTGGGGTCGGCTGCTGCTGCTGCTGCTGCCCCGCCTCCCGGCGGCGACCCTTGTCGCGGAACCTCTGCAGGAAGGAGCTGGCCGCGTTGAGGCTGGTGGGGCGCTTATCAGCGCCGCTGCATCGGGAGGGCGACAGTCCGAAGAGGGAGTCCCCGGGACCACCGCGCTCGCAGCGGAACTCCTGAAACAATTCGCTCGTAGAGTCTCGTGCACTAGATGGTGTGCTCTGGTGCTGTGGCGTGCGCTTGGCGCAGCCCTTTACCTCGCAGCGGCCGCCCACGCAGTAGCTGATGGCGCCCCCTCCGCGGCCCAGGACGCACGCCGTGCCGTCGGGGAAGCTCCAGGCGCGGGGGCGCGCGCCGCCCTGGCGCATGTGGCACCACACCGCGCACGACTCGCGAGCTGCGGGCAGACAAGCTCCCCGTCAGGCCGGTCACACTCGCGCACAGCATACAGCCTCAGACACTTACGGTCGTTGCTGGTCATCTGCAGCCCCGTGCCGAGGAGGCTGGGCTGCACGTCGCGGGCGCGGCCGCAGGTCTGGTCCGCGAAGTCCCTGATCGTGGTGCGCGCCACGTTGCCGCACTAGGGATACAAAGTTACCATTAGCATGGCCAAGGCGCCACGGCCGCCCACGCATACCCACCCATCGAGAGATCTCTCACTCACCTGCGGTGCGTTGCAGGTTCTGTAGCGGTGGTCGCTGCCAAGGCACGGCCGCCCGCCGTTCTCGGGGCGCGGGTTGCTGCACCTCCTCGTCGACACCATGATGCCCGTGGAGCCCCTCAGCTCATGGGGCTCGCCGTGGGCCTCGCTGTGCGGCGAGTCTTCGGACAGGCATCCCGAGGCGCAGTCCGAGAAGGGCGACCACTCGCTCCAGCCGCCGTCCACGGCACCGCCGGTCAGCGCGGCAGCGGCCAGGGAGCTCCGGGACACGCAGCGGCCCAGGCGGCACCACTGCACCAATCAACCCCAGGTTATCCTGTGTTTCGGAGAGCCTTTCCTCCTCCTCAGCCCCCAGCCCGCGGCCGCCCTCACCTTACTCCTGCCGCAGTTGGTGCCGTCCAGCGCGGGGTGCGACGTCCACGTGTACCTGTCCCGTCGGCAGTGCAGGTCCCTGCAGGCGTCCTCCAGCGCCTGCGCCTCGGAGTGCACGGCGCCACGGCCGTACTTGAGCATGCCTGGGGGTGACGGTTGCTTGTGTTAGCCTTCGACAGCTAGGTGTACTTAGAGCCCCGCAAAGAGCGAGCTACGCGAGCTAGACCCCTTCTTCGGCAGGTGAGAGGGGGGTCGGGGTAGGCATTTAGCTCGCGTAGCTCGCTCTTTGCGGGGCTCTAGGTGTACTACCCCTCAGTGTCCACTCCACTCACACTGCTGGTCCGCGTCGAAGCGCTCCCCGGGCAGCACGCCGCCTGCAGAGTGGTCCAGGAGGTCCGGGCCCGGCGCGTCCAGCAGGCAGCTCGACTGGGGGGACCTGCGCGCCGACAAGCGGGGTCGTCATGACGGCGTTCGGGAGGGCGACGCGCGGAGGTGCGCGCTCTGCTTATGTGTACTCACTGCATGAACGTGTGGAGGTAGTGACGGCTGCACGCCGACCAGGTCGTCTTCCCCGAGCCCAGGGTCGGCGACATGAGGAAGCTGCCGGGGTCGCAGTCGTTGTCCGAGAGCGGACCGTCGTGCCGCATGCCGAGGCTGGTGGTCAACAACCCCGTGTGAGACATATTTGAAACGATCCACTGATCGACGTCGAGACGATCGTCTTTTCTCACCCACGACTTACTTGTGCCCGATCTCGTGCGCTACCACGTACACGCTCTCGAAGTGGCGACCCTCATTGACGGTGCAGCTGGACGCCGAGCACATGCCCGCCACCGGGGCCAGACCTGCGGGACGTCATACTGTTAACAGGCCTCTCACCCACTGAGATATGGTGACATCAAAACGATATCGGGTGTCAGAAATTTGTCGGTTTTTATTCCCTTATCGATCTTGTTTGGTATCGCATCTCACCGTGTGGACGTACCTACGACTTGCGACGACACCTTGCCGCCCTTGCCCACCACGTAGAGGTCCAGGCCGGTCAGGATGAGGGCGTGGTCCCAGTGCAGGGGGTGGCCGTCGCCGCCCGGGTTGGTGGCCGCCTGCCACGCGCAGAAGGACGACAGGAAGCGGTCGATGTCGTGGGAGCGCCGCAGCCCCGACGGCTCCGAGTGCAGCAGCTCGAGGCGCTTGAGGGCCAGCCGCACGGGTCTGCCCAGCGAGGGCGACTCGTACAGCAGCTGCACCGCGTTCACCATGGCCAGCACGAAGCGCACCACCTCCCGCTCGGTGTCGACGGGGAAGTTGAGCGCCATGTGTTGGACCAGGTCGCGGTCCACGAAGACGGCCGTTTCGATGTGCACGGCGGGCAGCGTGCCGCTAGTGGCGGCCACGTCCCGCACCACGCGGCCCCGCCCGCCGGAGTACGCCGTATGGTTCGTCCAAGGCAGTCCGTCGCCGCTGCCGTCGCGCAGGCCACAGGAGGTCGCTGGCGTGGTGTCAGCGGCGTGCCTGCTGAGGGTGGCGAGGGGTGAGGTGAGGCGGGTACATGAACAGGCCTTACTCGTCCTAGGTAACCGGTGCTGTTTTTCTCACCCGTACGTGTCCGGCAGCTCCCTGCGCACCAGGACGTGACTGGGGTGCGGCGCGCTCCGCACCAGGCGCTGAGGAAGCGGCTGCAGGATGAACATGCTCCTAGTCGTCGAGGACGCCGCGTCGAAGATCACACCTCGCTGGATCATAAATTGTTGTGTTGAGTCAACGAAAAACAAAAATTTCCGATACCGGGAATCGAACCCGAGCCTCCTGGGTGAGAGCCAGGTATCCTAGCCACTAGACCATATCGGATGTTGAGAGACGAAGCGTTTCCCCGTGAATTGTTTCTTGGCTCCTGGCCCATGCACTGTTTGGAGGCGGGCGGGAAAAAAGGTACCGCCCAACGTGGGGCTCGAACCCACGACCCTGGGATTAAGAGTCCCATGCTCTACCGACTGAGCTAGCCGGGCTGTGTGAGGGTTGCCTGCCAGGTCAGCGTGGGGAAGGGCTTCCCGCCATGCAGATGCCCGCGGGCCGAGCCGAACCGAACGGGAGCGGGCCGCGACGAAGAGGCGCGCGTCGAGCCGAGCAGGAGCACGGCGTGGCTCGGCTCCGCTCCGCTCGGCTCGGGCTCGGCTTCGAGGACGTCGTGGTCTTCGCCTTCGGAGACGAGAAGAGAAGGGAAAGGGGAGGGGAGGAGGGAAGGGCCAAGGATGCAGGCGTCGCGAAAATGTTTGACACCAGTTTTGGGGGAGTTGCGGGGCGGAAGAGGTTGAGGGTTGAGAACCGCTGAACTAGTCATCAGCAGGGCAAAGAGCGGACCATTAGAACAGAGCTGTTCTGAAAAGTTGATCAAGAGCGCTTGTTAGCCGGCACGTCACATTTTCTGTATACATTTTCCCGGACTCGTTTGATCAGCTTTCCGTTTCGTTTCTGGTTGCCGGACTGGAAAGGTTGGCCAGGTTGACCCACTCCACGTGGCCGGGTACCACCCTACAGCGGCTCCGTCTGGCACCAAAAGTGACCCTGGCGATCGGCCAGCACAGCAAACTGGTGGTGTGCGTGCGGAGCGCGGGGCCGGGCGGCCGGGCGGCCGGGCTGGGGCC